GTTTGGTAGCGTTATAATGCTGGTTAATGCACCACGCCGTAATGCAACAGAGTGTTTGGTAGCGTTATAATGCTGGTTTTTATTACATATTTCATTTACAATCTCTTATTCTGAGCCCCAGAAAATATTTTAAAATGTATCGATTTTTATAAATAAAGCACTGCGATTGACGAAAAAGTGTTTCATTTAAGAATACCTAGAAAAATGTTCTCCTATCTCATCAAATTAAATTTAGCGATTAGTTAGCGAATATTTATTTTTTAATTTCAAATTGAAATTTAAATTTCAATTATATTTTGTAGTTACATATTTATGGAAATATATAGTGCTAGTTCGCTTAAGTTGCTTTTTAACCATAAATTACAACGCTCAAAATAGCAATCAAGTACACTACATGCATATTTATCACGCTTCGGTGACCAGTTCCATCGCGTCAAAACTTTGTCACCACGCCTGAGCATTGAACAGTTCTCAGTTGAATAAAATGCAAACCCTCACACAGTTTACATGTCACTGTTTTCGGCCGGGATAAGCGCGTCTGGCTCGAGCGTCTGGACTAATATGAACATTTGAGGCGGTTGTGCTATTACATTAACCCTATGCCTCGCTTGTGCACGCTAGTCAGCAGAGCTGAGCAACGCTACTTTGAAATGTAGCGGCCGCTACCGCTACATGCCCTAAATGTAGCGGGCGCTACCGCTATTGCTACAAATGCTAAAATGTAGCGCCGCTACCGCTACTGAAAATGTAGCGGCCGCTACTTCCCACCTCTGGACTAACAACATGTTGACACTAGAAACAGGCTGAGATTGACAACATTACACCGAAATCTTTTGTACAGTTTTATTCTGTAATTTATATTATGTATGTATCATGCTGGTTTTTAAATAATATTTAATACTATTAAGTAAAATCTAAAGGCTTTATCTATAAATGTAGCGGTAGCGCTGTAGCGGCAAAACCTCGTATCGCTACTTAAATATGTAGCGGGCGCTGCCGCTACCGCTACAATTGCTTAAATGTAGCGCCGCTACCGCTACTGAAAATGTAGCGGCCGCTACATGTTGCGAGCTACTGCCCACCTCTGCTAGTCAGAATATGATGTGTGCCGGTTCAATGGCTCACGTGTCCGTATCAGAGACGTAGGATTAAAATCTGAAAAAATAAAGGCAAGGTAGCCCAGTGGTTAAAGTTCAGAGTACCAAGGGCGCGGGTTCGATCCCAGCTTTGTGCGCCAGTTTCTGGTCAGAATCGGCAAGGAGGCCGGGCGGTTAAGCACAGCAGAATTGTAGCAGTGAGTTGCGTGTTCGAGACTGCAACAAGCTGTGAATGTTCTGCAATGTTAAGAATCGGCGGCAGGCCTACGGCCTAATGAACACTGAAACCGCTATTATTATTATTATTATTATCATTATTATAATACTCGACAATTTGAGTGCGATGCTACCACCGGTAGAACTGGGTTCTATTGCACCAAAGTGATAAAATAAAATAGTTTATTGCTTTTACTTTCGTCAAAATATTATTTGCTTACGATAAATTAGTGTATGGAGCTTCTTCAATAAAGTTTTGCTCACAAGTTTAAAGATACAGACAACATTTAAATTTCCTTTATGATTTTTGTACCGCTTCACCCAACAAATTAATAAGATAATATCTCGAAGGCACCACGCTGAGCAAACTAATTTTAATGTCATATTGGTGATCACTTCCTCAATAGCTATAGCTTCTACGCTCCATTCAGAGGAAAATTGTAACCTGTTATGACTCAGTGTCAAGGGAGACGTTACTGATTCGAATATTTTTCATGGGTAAATGGTTAAGAAAAGTCGATAATTATTTAGCTTTTACTCATTTGTACAGAACATGAGATTGAGTTAAGTTTTAGTCTCTGTGAACAACAAGACAACTTCGTGGACCGGCCATCAGCACGCATTCTGCCAAGCGGTCGTCGGTGTTTCGGTCCTATAGGTCGAAGCCAAGTCAGGCAAACGTTTCCTGACGGTCAAGTCATCGTTATATCAGCAACGTTTCATTTGCATTGAAGTGATCTCAAAGATCAAGTAAGGATACTTGTGAGACAATCATTGCTAATAATAGAAATTCGTTGATCTTAGCAAGCCTGAAATCATGCAGCGATGGTCCAATTGCACGTGAGCGATGCCTGAAGAGGCATCGAGGGTAAACTGCATGCATCATTTAGGTATAATACGCTTTACTGAGCTGAATAACTTATCACCCTAAAGACCGCACATCACCGCAGTCGCCACTGGGCTCAATTATATTCAATGCGATTACTTCATTGGCTCTGTTCGCTATAACACCAGTCGTAAATGGGACAGCTTCATGAAATTTTTGAAAGATATACCAGACATTTGTTTACAAACTGTGAACATCACGATAAAATGTGACACTTCAGTATTATCACTCCTGCAGTTTTGCACCCACGACGCTCGTACCCCATGCGGCTGATATGATTTTACATCCAGAGCGTCGAGTTTAAATGGAATCAAGATCACGGCTAAACTGGCTTCGTAAGCTTAATGTTATTCACAAATAATCTACTACATTGGAACCACCACTCGCTCCTGAGCTTTCAGTACACAAACTGCAACTATAGCAGCTGCTTCACACTAAATTGCCTGTCATGTCGTCCCAATTCGAGTTACGTAAACTCCGTTCATTTCTGTCGGTGGTGATAAGCGCCATGTCGGGCAGCTTCTCTATTAAATGTTACCAATAAGACAATCATTTGACCTTCTACTACGTTCATCAGTACGTGTCGTAAACACTTCAACAAAAATTGAAGCAAAATAATTCATTAACCCAGCATTAATAAGTAGCTGTTTTATTCACTCAACATGAGTATTACAGATAACTCATCCACGCGATAACATTTCTTCTCGCTTCGAATCACCGACATGTGGAACAGCTTCCATGATTACATCGTCGGCGCTCCAAGTATGAAAGCGTTCAAAAACAGACTAGATAAAGCTATGGAAAAATATATGTTCAGACTTGAAATGCCTAGCACCTTATCGAGCCCGGTGAAGTCTAGTAGCTACTTCAAACTATCGTCTGTTTTGAAAAAAATCCGGTCGAAGGACCTGTTTTTGGATCTTCTGTGAACGAGTCACGAAAAGTTCAAGAATCGGCGACAGGCCACATCAGGCCTACACTGCAGCGCCGACATCACTATTATATTAAGATCATCTGACCGAAAATTAAACAAGTTTATTCTTATTTTCTTACTACGTAAAGTGGAAAGAGAAAATAAATAAAATGCATTAAAGAAAACGACCCAAATTGAAGTTATTCAAGACAATGTGGTTTCTTCATGAAATTTCAAGTGCCAGATTTTCATCCAAACTATACACTACACAGCAGCACACAGCAGACTCCCTATAAACTCGACCTCTGGATGCTTGACCTCAACATTGGCTTTAGTGATTTTTCTGGTGAACTCACATCAAGATCTCATTCGAGTTTCATCTTATTTTTAACATCAGTTAATTACCTTACGAGTCTATTGTACATACAGCTTGTATGTTAACAAATGTTATTTTGATCGACAGAAAATATTACATGCATTAAAAATCCATCCAAGTCGAAAATGTTTATTTTTCATTGAAGCACAGCTGCTATATAGTGTGCACACTAGTATGATTAGTAGAAGTCATGATTAGTGATGATTACTTCTTCTGTGATTAGTAGAAGTAATATCTCAACGGAGGCAAGGCTTAAGAAAATACAGATGAAGAGGTACATAAGAAAATACACATGGAGAGGTACATAAGAAAGTACAGATGAAGAGGTACATAAGAAAATACACATGGAGAGGTACATAAGAAAGTACAGATGGAGAGGTACATAAGAAAGTACAGATGGAGAGGTACATAAGAAAGCACAGATGGAGAGGTACATAAGAAAGTACAGATGGAGAGGTACATAAGAAAGTACAGTTGGAAAGGTACATGTTGTCAGAGGGTTTCCTGAAGGCCTAACTGCATTGATCAAGCAGAAAAAGAGCACATAGGGTTATTCGGTAAAATAAAACTTGTGACTATTTCAATAGCATAAAGCACCATCCAGTGATTCTAGTCAAATGAGACTAAGAGTCAGAGGTGGGCAGTAGCGCGCTACATGTAGCGGCCGCGACATTTTCCAGTAGCGGTAGCGGCGCTACATTTAAGCAATTGTAGCGGTAACGCCCGCTACAAGTAGAACATGTAGCGGTAGTGGTAGCGGTGCTACATTTAAGCAATTGTATCGGTAACGGCGCTACATTTAAGCAATCGTAGCGATAGCGCCCGATACATTTAGAGCATGTAGCTGTAGCGGTAGCGGCGCTGCATTTAGAGCACGTAGCGGTAGCGGCCGCTACATTTCAAAGTAGCGCTGCCCAGCTCTGCTGTGAGTGTAACAACAAGGGAGACAAGGTAACGCTCCACACCGGTCGAGTGACGCGTTAGAAGAAGTCACCGCGCGCGCAAAAATTAAAGGGTATCACGCGGCCTCAATTAGACTCAAGCGTCCCTGGCTTTACACGGATTTTTACGATGAGAAATTCAGACTCTAATAATTCTGCATTGTTGGTTCTCAATCAGTAATGAGGCATGGGCGGTTAGACAGGATTTAATAAACTCGAAATTGAAACAGTTTGCTTTTGACAAGATATTCTCGCTGGGGATTCTTCTAATTAACAAACTTGATAAGTTTCAACGAGTCGGCGACAGCTTTGTCTAAACTGAACAATGTGCATTTTATTTTCTTACTTAACACTGAAAAAGATTCAATAACTGATAATCTTAACTTTATTGTGGAATAACTCGAAAAGATTCCCCAAGTACTTATATACTTATAAAATAATAACTTATAACTTAAACTAAACTTATAAACTATAAACTAATTTCTAGTTAAGAGTATATCGTCGATATCTTATTCCGTCAAGAATGACCATTAAATATTATCGGAAATAGCGAGTAACGGTGTACAAAATAACCGCGCAAGCATCTACAACTTTAAAGCTGCCTGAACCTTAAATATAAAAATGTCATTAAATATAAGAGACTTTAAAAATAACGGCATCGAAACCTATATTTTTTTAGGCCTCCATTTATCTCGAAGTTTTGCCTCAAATGAGAAACAAAATCATAGGCAAGTTATTTCCGATCATAAGTCTAAGGGCACAACAGCAAAGAAAAAATAAAACACAAAAACTTATGTGCGTCATCATAAGCATCACTATAAGCATCACTATAAGCATCACTATAAGCATCACTATAAGCATCACTATAAGCATCATCATCATAAGCTGTCATTTTAACATAGTTCCCCCTGCATGTCATTGGAAGCACAAGTCAAAGGTTCTGAGCGCCGGTCTTGCGCGGCAGGAATGTTGCCCTGCGAACTCGCTACGTCAAGAGAGAATTTCCGTTCACGAGGATGGTTGTCAGGATATACGCTTAGAGAAGTTCTCTCAGAAGTGTTTACAACAGCACGTGAACATTGAGAAGCAAGATCAGAGTTAGGACATATCGGGGACGCGAAAGAATTCAATGCTTCGTCAGTGTGCTCGGTAATATTCGTGTCATGCAAACAACGGTCGAGCAGTTCATTCAAGTCCATCAAGTCATTATCGTAGCTCAACGGAAAATCGTGCTCGAAAAGTCCACAAGGTCTTTCGTTTGAATTACTCGACGAATGAATCGAAAATTCTGCCCGGAGACCGCCATCTTCCAGCAGAGAGTCGCCCAGACTTAGCCCGTTGAAAGTCTCGTTGGTGCCCACGGAGTCGGAGCAGCTGTCTTCAGTATCGGTGACGTCGATGACACCGCAGAGACTTTTGTTGCGGGCTGCATTTAAGAAGACGCTGTGCAATGAATCTTTCTCATATCTGAAGGTGTTCCTTATTTTCTTCATTGGCATTGTATGAGTAAGAATACAAGGGCTAGACTGACAGGGATCTGTTCTGTCCTTTACAATTGTACAGACTGATGACAGTGGAGCGATCGCATTGTATTCGTTAAGGTTAATGGAGCTTAGGTAAGGGCTCGCTTCTTGGTCAAGGTTGCTAAGATTCAAATCAAAAGAATTTCCGTAACTTTGAGCAGTATCCGCAGAGATTTCCTCAATCACTCGAACAGTGTCATGCTCATGGGTCGAATGTAAGAGCTCGTTAGTTCCAATGGACTGATATGACGATGTTATGTCTTGTGGTACAGTAGATGGCCCCGCAGTGTTCATATGGTCACATTCACTTTCTTGGCGCATCACGGATGTATCAGACGTGAGATCGAAGATGTTGGCAGTGTTACTCAGACACGACAGCCCGGAAGAAAAATTGAGCGAAGAAGAGACATTTTTGGTGTAATCGTGATCGAGAAGAGGCGCAAGCGAAGGAAGTGCGTTGCTTTGTTTGCAGGCAGCAACAGTTTGAGATTTGTTAAGGGAAAAACTAGCTGAAGTTCCGCAGTCAATTGATTGATCTAGAACAAGCGTAGCATAAGACAACAT